GTTTACGCCGGTTTATCCTCCTGTATGCGTTTATAGACATATGCAAGTCTTTTGGGTTTTGGTCAAGCCGTATGTAGTTGAGATGATTAGCAACTTTACTGCGTAGGACTATATCGCCTCCCGTAGGTGGCGCAACTTCAACTTGCCTCAGTCCTCAAAATCCGCCTCGTTTCATCAACCATCTCGCCGGTATGAACCAACGAGACAAATGGTGCGGGCAGCTTTCTCCCGAATGCTACAGGACATATCAGTATTGAGAAACTTTGTCTTGAGCTGTATGCTTGCTAGTGCAACCTGAAGGCGCGTCGTAACTCACCCAAGTCACCCTATTGGTGTATGGTTGCAAGACAATATATAGGATAAGCGAACTGCAAAGTCTACTAATCGAATACGTGTTAAATCACATATAAACTTTCGGCGTTCTGTATCAATATTATACAACTGAGACCACAGCGCGCGTAGGTAGTATAATGGTTATTATCTCGGTTTCCCATCATCTGGCTGCGGTTTATCTGCAGATTTTCATACCGAGGACCCGAGTTCGATTCTCGGCCTACGCAGTCTTTTTTGGGCAGCTTTTATGCTCACTTGGCGCTCAGGTGTCCAAAAAACTCTATTCGACCCAGTGTTGGGCTGAACAGATGCACTGGCATCTGTTACCGCTTAAACACCCAACAAAACCGCCACATTCGGTTCAGTTAAAGCTCTAAACAGTATATCTACGATCATCCTTTCGAGTCCTCGAAAAGAACTTGGGTGCCCGATGACGCAAGACTCGTTCGATGTGTCTCGCTCCGTTAGGACTAAGCGCAAAGAACGTAGCATTATCCAAGATGTATGCGCACAGAATCTACACAACATCTCTTAATTATTACTAGTCAATGTCCAAGTCAAGTTATAAGCATCAGGATCTCCCACACCGATCCAGGCCGGTTTGCAAAGTTTTGCTCTCAGCAGTGTCGACCCTGGCTAATTTGCAAATCATGGCGTGACCCACAACCTACCTAAGCGCCCACCCGACCAGGCTCAAACAGACGACGGCCACACCTCCGGCATCCTAACCTTTTCTCCGTAAAAAAAAGTCTTTGTGCTGCCTGTTTACTGGTGGTTGAAATTCTACGCGCTGAACGTTGAGCGCGAATACACGCTCTAGCTTCATGCCATCCAATAACTGGGCTTGAAGGAAAACACAGAGGTCGACTTGGTGAGCATACACTTGTGGTTGGGCCGCTCCAATACACCATAATGCTTACCCGAAATCACTGCTAGAGTATAAACTTAACACCGAATTCTAGCCTCACTCTAGGTCTTAATTCGTGCGTTTAGTTTGCCTACCGATATGTTCCGCCTCCAGCGCTCCTGTCGCTCACAAAGCGTGTTTTGTAACACTTTGTAGGTCCTAAGATGGCGTTTAACTTTACCGCTCCCCGAAAAAGTCTTTTGACACGCGTACTCCTCGGCGGCGCAGTCATCTACATTTTCCATACGCTCTTCTTCTCTTCCAATACTCAGCCCCATGAAATTGTCGCGCACAATGTCCTCGACCGAGTCACCAATGCGGACCGTACGCTCGATGTCCAACGGCACAAGTTTTTACAGGCACGACTCGGGCGAGATGAGCGCCCGGACCTGCTGAGTAACTGGGTCGGAGACGGCGCTCTAGATTTTTGGCAGCGCTTTCAGCTACCCTTGTATGTTTTGTTTCGCCCTACTACTTTGACCGAAACTCATTTTGCTTGCAGCATGCAAGGAAAACAGACAGCACACGTCGATGACCAGCTTGTTCGCTCTGCGATTGATGATTTGCTAAGCTTGAACGGTTGGGTCGCGGCTGCGTGTCCAACCCTGATCCGTCCCTTTGGTCAAAATAAACGCGAAGATAACTATGAAGACTTGGCACGACAAGGACATTTGTACTATATCGCTATCGTCGTACACAGCGCAGACCACTTCCTCGTCGATCAGCTCGCTGTGATTGTGCAAATGGCACGCCGGCTCGGCCCTTCGAGTCTATTCGTTAGCATCCTCGATTATGGCAGTACCGACTCTACTACTACACTTCTGGATCTATGCGAATCGGTTCTCATTCTCACAGGGGTGCCATTTAGGATTCGGACCGTTCCTGGCATGACACACGACCCGGCTGCTGCATACTACCCCTTGGAAGAGGCCTATACCCGGAACCTAGTCCTCGAACCCTTGCAGGAGCTCTATGAGAAACGTCGCATCGTCTTTCACCGTGTTGTTTGGCTCAAGGGATTCACATGCCCGAACGATATCCTCGAGACTATCAAGGTTAGCCAGGCCAACAACGCCGCGATGGTATGCGGAATGGACTGGGCGGAGCACAATGGCTTTTTTATATTCTCTGATAGGTATGTGGTGTTCGCTTGGTTGTTCGTCCGCACTCGAACTTTTTTGTAGATGGCGTACTCGCGATATGGATGGTGACCAATTCCGACAATCCAAGTCTTCTGCCTCGTCTGCGTCTGGTCCTCCACGAGACGCGATTGGTGCTAAACGATACGCCGCCCATCTGCCGTTCCAGGTCTTCTGCTGCGAATCAGGAACCCATATCGTTGATCCCGCACAGTCGTACTACCGTGGTATCACCTACCGCTCGTCGTTCAACTTCCACAACCTCAGCACGTCCGAGAGTGCGCCAAACTGGGACCCCGAAGGACCTTGCATGGACTCTAGCCAGGCGTGGTTCTGCCGCGATCTCTGGGTTCAGGCCGCCAAGGATGGCGTTTCTCGTGATGGGCGCGAACGTATTCCAGAAGTCTATCCCGTCGAGAACGATCCTCCTCAGCCTGATAAACCTGGTGTGAGCAAGCGACAGGAAGGTGCGCCCGCTGCCAAAGCTCCCGAAGCCCCAGCGAAAGAAGACCCCGCGAAGAAGGATCCTCCCCCACCCGGTCGACCCGAAAAAGCCAGCCCAGACTCGGACGCGGATGCGGGATCCGACTTTGACGCGTTATCCGGACCGTCTCCTCCCCCAGTCAATACTCCCCCGCCCCCGATCCCCAACTCGGCGTACCAGCCTGCGAGGGTCCTTATCAACCCGCGCTGCGTTACGACATATGCTGGAGTTAGCCATACCAAACTAGCCTCAGACTTGTTTGGTCTTGACGATGATCATGATAGTGGCGCGCCCCGACATGATCATGACAAGCAGGCGAAATACGTGTTGGACGACTGGATGGGCGCGCCGGCTGCGTTCGTCTGCCAAGAACAAAGGTGCGTTAGCTAAATTCTGGCTACATCAGAAAATGGACACTAATAGCGTTTCACTATAGGCAAACAGGCGGCCGAAAAGCGACTAAAACGCAGAGGCGCTTGGGCTTCGCAATTCATGCTGCGCTTGAGCAAATGGGCTAATTGTATGTTTCGTTTTGTGGTATGTAACGCTATCGATATAGATGTACTTTTGGGTAGTTGTAGTATTTCAGCCTTTCTGGTTTAGGTGGATTGATTAAGTCGAGTGAGCAATCTTCTTTAAAGTCTTCGTGCTATCTCGCTTTTGCGAAAACTCTCGCCAGGCGGGCTCGCCGACCAAAGTATACTGAATCGACGCATACAATCTATTGTACACGTGAGTAGCCACCTATGGTACAATTTGTGGTAAAACATAGGCCAAAGGCTAACATGGAGCGAATTCAACCAGATGAAGCTACACAAAGTACGAAATCCTATAACTCGATGGCTGTGGCCTGATCTGGAGTTGCTTCGAGTTCACTGAGCCACTCAAAAATCATGTCGGCGGTCGGGCGGTTATCAGGTTCCCTTCGCCAACAGTGGTTCTCTAGTATGTCCCAAAGACGCTCGGCAATTAGGGGGCATTGGTGATTGAACCACTCTATTTGAGCGGGGAGTTCTCCGCGCCATTGACGAAACGACACCACATTTGGATTATAAGTATTGTAAGGCAATCGACCTGTTTGAAGCTACAATAACATTAGTGATTGTAAACTGGCATTACTTAACATAGGATCGTTGGCATTTACCTCAAGAGCTACACACCCAAGAGCCCAGATATCCGATTTCTTAGTCATAGTACACCCTTCCTCTTCCTCCCAAAGCTCAGGACTATTCCACCATATCGAACCCTCCCGCTTTTGAGTATCGCCGTGACAGTCGCAAACAATAGTTGACTCGCCAAAGTCGCATATCTTCGCCACTTTCTGCGTCTCGTCCACAAGTATGTTGTGCTACAAAATATGAGTCAACCCGTTCTCTTGAAGCTAACACAAATAAGCAGTCTCACTCCTTTGAGATCGCCGTGAACGATGGATAGGTTGTGAATATATCGAAGTCCATTGGCAACACCGACTAGCTGTAATACATGTCAAGCTTTATATCCTTTTCGATCCGGTGCAAACTTACGAGTCCCAACCGCTGTTTATAGCCAAGCGCGCTGTTGTTGCGCAAAAACTAAAGTCAACGTAGCGATTTAGTATGTGCTTGTGCAGCATCATGTACTAGCTACCTTGCTGGCACTACCATTATTATAGAATTTAGATATTGGCGCAGGAGATAGATAATTTTCGATGGCCGTAACGCCAACTAGCTGCAGGATGTTCTCGTGTGGATGGTCGAGTATCCTCCAAATCTTCAACTCGTTCTTGATTGATTCCTAGGATTGCACGGACTTGTTTTATACTATAGATCTTATCGGATCGAAACTAGACAGTGTGCATACCTCAGTGTTGAATGGGTTCCGGTAGCCCTTTACTGCTACCTATAAGGAAAACATCGTCAATAAACACGTAGTCTGTTGCGATAGGCCCAAGAGACGATGCCGCTGAATTGGTTCGTTTGAAATACGCCGCTAGTATACTAACAATCTCAGTGCATGTTTGATTGTCCTTATGGGCGGACAATAAGCGCACCATATAACATCCGATTTCCCACCATCCGTTATTATTTGAGTACGCTGGAACTGCTGAATGTCAAATACAAGGGGCCCATCGCTAGGTGGGACGTGACGTTGGCACTGAACCATGCGTCAGGATACAGGATTTGACGAGGTGGATGGTCGTTGCAGAAAACTGACACTAGTTTCAGCTTAGATGCCTTGTGAACACAGCCTCAAATCAGCTCATTATTAGGGACAGAGTCAAATAAAAATAAAAACCAGTAAGTAGCTTACAGTAATCCACGCTTCCTTGCACCACCACTCCTGGCATCATGGTATACAAAAGTATACGGGTTTTTGCCCTATTCTCTTGGTTTTATGCACAGGCACGACGCATAATATAGTACATATGTATTGCTAACTTTCTCAGTGTTTTATAAACTTCTCTTATTCGTACCCGTTTTCTTTCGGTCAATTAATGCAATCGAATTGAGCAATTAGTCTACAAAAAAATGCCGCCCTTACGACTTGTTGATATAACTTTGTTCCAACTCTGGTGCGGTTGCCCTGTTCTCTGGCTCTTGAGCCCAGCACCGTGTCAAGACTGAGCGGATATCATCCGTATATGATACCTCAGTTAATGAACCGGGAAGCTCCCCTGACAATATCACCCTCCTCAATCGAACTTCGTGCTTTTGTTTC